AAAGTCGTTTAGCCCATCAGTGCTGCCAAGGTGGTGAGTGGCAGCTCCTGGTGACGTAATGCACCCCCTGTCATCAGTGTCATTTAGCTCATCATCAGAGGCACTTAGCTGGTGACAGGGAGGACAAACTTATTGGGACTAATGTGGATGGGATTCATTTCTTAGATAAGAGCTTTGCTTTTTTTCTGTAGGGGACCTCTTTAAAAATCACTAAGCTTCTTCAAACTAGATTTTGGTAGTATTGTTCTGCCCCAAAACACAGAATATTGGTTGATTTGTGAACTCATAAACTTCCCCATTCCAAGAACGTACACAATTGTATTTTAGTTCTCTTGTGTGCCAGACAGGTTGTTTTTTTTCATTAGGTCTTGGCGCCACCTAGTGGCTCATTTGTCCATTGCAAAGTATGCCTGGGCTCAAATACTATTGCTGTTTCGTTACATTCAACACTGTACATTCAATGAACTACATTCATTCATCAATTCAACAAAAATATATTAAATAATTTTACAGGTTAATATTTTCAAGAACGAGCACACTGTGATAACCTAGAACCTAGAGGTAATCAAGAAAGATATGGTCTCACCTTCATAAGGATCACAGTCTAACGGAGCAGAGAATAACCAACAACAAAAGAATTAATTATTGCCCATTGTGATGTCCTAAAGAAAGAAATCCACTGTGTGACGGAGGGTAAGATAGGCAGGAGGAGATTTTAAATAGGGCAGGCAGGGAAGGCCTCTCCAAGAACCATCAACACCAACTTGCAAGGATGGGATGAGAGGGAACCGTCCTGCAGAAAGCATAGGGGCAGAAGGGGTGAGAACATTCTATGAAATCAGAGAACAGCACGTGCAAAGCCCTAGAGGCTTCAAGGGAGTGGCTGTTCAAGGAACTGAAAGATCAGCGTCTTCAGAGCACAGTGAAGCTGAGAGAGGCGTAGTGGGATTGGAGGGAGGTTGTTGACAATGAATTTTTCTGCAATGAGTAGAGTTCAATGTCTGTAAACATTTCCTTAACTGAAACCACACAGATTGTTAGGGTAGGTTCTTTCAGAACAGCATCTTTTTTAAAAAGAGAAGTGTAATTTTGTGAACTTGGTCATTTTCCCAGATCCAGCAGGCCCCTAACCAGGGACTTCAATGACAGCTGTGTGTCCCTCTCAAGATACCCTGCATCTGCTCCTGCCCTGCATGGTCCCCACTACAGTTAAGTTTCTGTATCCTTGACTACTTGCATTGGAACCTAATTTTAATAGCCTGGAACAGTGGTTCTCAACCTTCGCTGCAAGTCACCTGGGGAGCTCTTAAGAATCCCAATGCCCAGACCACACCCTAGACCCATTAAATCAGCATCCCTAGAGGATCTTGGAGCCGTGGTGGTGAAGTGAAGTGCTATGGCTGCTAACCAAAAGGTTGGCAGTTTGAATTCACCAGCTGCTCCTTGGAAACCCTATGGGGCAGTTCTACTCTGTCATGTATGGTCGCTAGGAGTCGGAATTGACTCGATGGCAACAGGCTTGGCTTGGGCCTGGTGGACCTTGGGCACCAGTATTCTGAAAGCTGTGCAGCCAAGATTGAGAACTGCTGGTCTGGAAGGATACTCACCAAGAGGGGAGAAGATGATCTCATTTCATGCCCATAAGTAGTGAAGGTTACTCAAGTATGAGCCAGACTAGGCCTCTTCCCCAGGTGGAAGCCCCACTCTGGGCCACCCAGCCATCATCATGATGCTTTTATTGAGTTCCTACTGATGCTTCATAAAGCAGTCAACAGACCCTCATGAAGTGAAATTGTAGACAGATATTCCCTACTGGCAAACAGGCCTGCTAAAGGCATTAGAATGATCAGGTTCCCACCACCTCATTACTCACTGGAGCTCTCCCAACGTGCAGAGGGCCCACAAAGCCAGACTTCCTACAGCAGGGGTTCTCAGCCCGAAAGTACATCAGAATCCCCTGGGGCACTTTGAAGAAATACTGATGCTTGAGTCCCACCCCAGAGATTGATTTCTGGGGTGGCTTGCACAACCATTGTGTTTATAAGGTAGCCCAGGTGATTCTAACGTGGAGCCAGGATGGAAAACCACTGTTACTAAAGAAGACACCGTCTGTGGGTCATTGTGCCCTGAGGAGGCCTGGAGTTGCTGCAATTGCTGTGTAGTTGGGGTTGTTGCTCTGAGTGACCCACAATTGCTAGTCTTTCTGTTACTTTCTATCATCTGCTAAGCAGCCCAGTCTTGGACCTAGCTTCAGTGCACCTCAGCTCGGAGGCCACACTAGTAGAGCAGTTAAGACCACAATGGGGTCATACAGTTAACCACCCATCTCACATGGGTGGGGAAGACCCACTGGCTGGGAAGAAAGAACCTACCTAGACACGTGGCAGCCAAGACAGCAATGCTCCATTTAGTGCATGATGGACCAGTTACCTACCTTCTTCCCGTTTCCAATAAAAGGATATTCACATTAGGGTTCACAGTAAACAAGGTCCATAATGAACTGGCAGCTTGGACTTAAGTTACACATGACACAGGTTTTTAATATAAGCAATTACTGGTGCTATTTTTCTTAGAAGAAATTACCCCCCCACATCTTAAAACCTAGAAGGATATGTACCAGAAAAGTAACAATGGTTGCATCTGGGGGGTAGAATTGTTTTCAGTGGCTGTCAAGTCAGTGGCAACTCATGGCAATCCCATGCACGACAGAATAAAATGCTGCCTGGTCCTGTGCCATTCCATGATAGGTTGTGGATCAGACCATAGTGATCCATAGGGTTTTCAGTGGCTGATTTTCAGAAGTAGATCACCAGGCATTTCTTCTATGTCTGTCTTAGTCTGGAAGCTCCACTGAAACCTGTCCAGCATCATAGCAACACGCGAGCCCCCACTGACCAGTGACAGCTGTGTATGAAGTGCATTGGCCTGGAATCGGACCCCGGTCTCCTGCACGGAAGGTGACAATTCTACCACTGAACCACCGCTGCCCCTAGGTATGCCCACCCTCTCCAAAAACATGAGGTCTGTGAAAGACACTGTATTTCTTTCTTGTAGATATTTGCAGAGCCTTGACTTACTAATATTCATGGTGATTCTAAAATAGGAAGGTACAGCATATAATTTTTTCAAACTTATTTAGCCCTGAATCTTTTTTTGCAGGAAACATTCCCAGGGATTAGTGCTCCGAGGAACATGTTTTGGGAAACAGTCTATCCTCTCAGCACCTAGTTCCTTGACCTACTACAAACAAAGTCGAGTATTTAGGAATGTGCTCTGTCCCCTGTAACAAGGGCCAGGTGCCATACAGAATAAGGGGAGGTGACCACGCAGCACCTCAGACGCCTGTCATCACGTGAGCTAAGTCACAGATGAAATGACTCGAGCACAGACAACAAATGAGGAATGGTCCAAAAAATATTCACAACTGAACACTAGTGACATTTGAAGTCATTCTGTTTATAGACACCACTTAGTTATACTTTCTTTAGTCTCATTTTGGCTTGGACAGAAATAATTTGGAGGCATAGCGAGAGGAAAAACATCTGAAATTTCCCTTTGACTAGTGTAACACTTGCTGTAGCTTTTCCCAACTCATCTTCCCTAAAGACACTTAACTGCCAAATGCTACTGCAAACACCCAGTGCATTCACGTGAAATAACGCCAAACTGTACGTTCAATTGTTTTAATCTCAAATTATATTCTTCTGGGTTCAAGCCTGTGCTAGCCCTGCTAGTTTATGACAGGAAAATAAGGGACCAGAGGTATGAGTGAGACATACACAGCAACTAAAAGTGACCGGGTCACCTAGATGCTCTGCGCATGAAAAAAAAGCAATCCTGGCCCTACTCTTCCTAGCGGGCAGAGATGAGACCTTTCTTTTATACCTTGCTCAAAATCTCAGGTGAACAATGGGACTGACTCATTGGTGCTTAAAAGCAGCTTGTCATTTTGGTTATCGACCTTGCAGAGGTAGGCATTACACTGTACAGCCACATTTCCAAAGTGTGTTCCTAAGAATACTGGTCCTGCAAAGCGCTCCTTGCAAAAAAAGTTTGGAATCAAAGATTTAGAAAATACTGCGCGCGATTATCTACTTCCTGGAGATTTACAACGCACATTATCAAGGTTCTGTTGTTGTTAGGTGCCATCAAGTCAGTTCCAACTCATAGCAATCCTATGTACAACAGAACGAAACACTGCCTGGTCCTGCACCATCCTCATAACTGTTATGCTTGAGCCCATTGCTGCAGCCACTGTGTCGATCCATCTCGTTGAGGGTCTTAACTCTTTTTCACTGACCTTCTAGTTTACCAAGTATGATGTCCTTCTCCAGTAAGGCTCTACAAGTCCTTTAATAAAGAAATATTCAGCTTTGTTTTTTAAGCCAGAGTTTCCCGAATCAATCTGACCTTTAATCCTTTTTTTTAGGAAACACATTTCATAGAACATACTCTGGGAAATGTTCTTCTTTGGCTTTGGCAAATACTTTGCAGAAACAAAAAGCACAGAAAAATTAAGTAATTCCTAGAATCATGTGTTGGTCAACAACAAAGAGGACAAGGGGTCACAAAGTCATAGGCCCCCATTCTACTTCCAGCCCAACACTTTTGCCATAAACTGAGCTGCCTGAAAGCAGGTGGCAATAAATTTCCCATGGTCTCCTTCTTTATGACATAAGGTATCAGACATGCTGACTGCAGTTCAGAATTGAACATGGCCCATGCAGGGGACCATATTTCATGTAGAGGCCAGATGTTTATAGTCTTTTCCTCTCTTGTAACAAATAAACCATTGTCACTTATCATGACTACAAGGTTTTCCAAATAGACCCGACAGCCCTTTGAGCCTAATAAAAAAAAGCGGGGGGAGCGATAAAACACAGAGCTTCTGATTATTTTCAGCAAGAATTACACAGACCAAAAAAATCATGAGGCAAAAGCTTTTGGCTCTATGTAACAAATAATTTAAAAGGATACAGCAAAGACAAGCAAAGATGGAAATCAATGAGATTATCGGAATGATATAAACATTTCATCCATTTGCATAATACATCATTTTTTATTCTTGTTTCCAAGGAATTTCACATAATATTCTGAAATAGAAGAGAGAGTGAAAACAAAACTCTCCAGTTGTGGAACCTGGTAAACAAAGTTATACCATACCTGCTAGGATACAAGACGGCATTCACACCTCAATAGCAATTCTTGCAAATCGATACTGCAAGGAGGCAGGAGGCCTCAGTAACACCAAGCCCCTCTCATCTGCCGGCTGCCTGGATAGCATATCCAGCAAGCCTGTCAAACTAACAAACCCCAGTGCTTCTCCACAGCCAACTGCCATGGAAAAATCTCCCTGAGTGACAAACCCCAGGAGAACCCTGGAACAGTGCGAAGTCACAGCTGGGAGAGGGCCTGACCACAAGCCCAGTGTTAAAGCTTCATGCCCTGCGGTAGAATCCTCTCCTGCTAGGCCCTCGGGAGCAGCACTCCCTCGTCTCTGCCTCTTCTCCATCTTCTTCTTCTCTTTCTGTTTCAGGAGCTTGCTCTTGAATGGGTCACTGTGTTTGGACTCCTGGGGCCCACAGTAGAGCTGACCCTGACAGAGACGAAGGAGGTCCTCCTTCGCCGGGACACAGATCATGGTGTGTGGCTCTGGGCTGCCCTTGCGGAGCAGGGACAGGCTGACCCACACCAGGGCCCTGGGGAAGTGGCCCAAGATTGACAGACAGGCCTCTCGGGTCAGGTCTTGCTGGTCCCTGCCGGGGGCTGGTCGGGCTGCCCGGCTGCCCCCAGAGCTAGGCCCACACCAGGCTGACAGCTGCTTCAGTAATTTTCTCTCCCTACATGAAGTTGAAGACACGTGTTTGAGGATATTTCGTCAAATTAAAAAAAAAAAAAAAGATGATTAGGCATCGCTAGTGTTACATTTATTGTTTAGTGTTACATATATTTTTTAATACTATATGAGGGAAGGTCTCAAAACTGTAATTTTCTAAAAATTAAAAATAACACACATGAATACATCTTATTAATGATCTTTTTCTTTTTTCACATCTACTATTCTGAAACTGAAGGGCTAAAGGCTTACGACGCTGAAGGCAGAGAAAAATAAGGTGTTGGGATTAGAACCCAGGGCTGTAACACAGTGAAGAGGGGCTGATACTCTGATTAGCAGAGAAACTCCAAGTGACAGTTATACGTGAAGTTCCACTGAGAAAGAAGAACATGGAATTATGAAGAGTATAAGTAAGTATGAGACAAGGGGGCCAGGCACGTTTTAAACTTAACAGCCTGTAGCAGTGGTGGACACACTGTTACAGGGGAGCCTCTGTGACGCTACAATATTACACTGAATGGGTCACTAATTTACCACAAATTCAGATAATTCATAAGGAAATAGAAGAAATCTAGTTCAGTGATTTAAAGCAAAGAACGTCTGCTCAGACATGCAGACGTTCTTCGTTACTTAAGACCATCCTTGTGACAGTACCACTTTGTGAGCAAAGACTAAATGAAACGGGCCACAGCCTGCTCGGGAGAAAAAAGCTGCCTTGGTTTAAGTCTACGATGACAGTATTTTAGATCTTTTCATCGGTTAATATCATGCCCCAAATCAAATTTTATTACGCTATTTCCCTGAGCCCTCTAAGAAACAAGGCTTTCCTTTCAGGAAGTCCATAAATTCACTTGGGCTTTGCCTAAAGGAAATCATCCTGTTCAGCGCTAAAAGAATCAACCCCAAATTTATCCAGAAGTCCCGTACGCTTACCTAACAACGCAGAGGAGACCACCAGTGGCAGCAGCACTGCTCTCAGCAGCATCCTGGTCTCCGACCCGCTCAGTCCCTGCCTGGCCTTGACACCTTGTGTCCATGGCTTCTTCTGGCTCTCTGGGTTCGTTTACAGACAGTTTAACAGTTTCTTCGGGTATGGCAGCACAAGGCACCTCATCTCTCCTTGCGTCACTCTCTCCACCATTTGGAGATGAAGATACAGAAGACTCTTCTTGGGCCTGTACTCTTGATTCCCAGTCTTGAGTCAGCTGCACCCAGGGACAGCAGAAAGGGGCCAAAGTGCCAAGCTTAACATAGTTGGGCCGTTTTGCAGGAGGGCGTCTAATAAAAAACAAAGATGAGAACCAATTTTGAACAATTTAGGATTGGACAATTAAGTAGCCCCATGTGGCCTTGCCCAACTTCAGGGCATACCATTCCTGAAAGACTACAAGTAAATGGTGCCCCTCGGGTTGTACAATGGTGTCTCTGGACATTTACAAAGTTCAAAAGCCAAAAGGAACAAAAGGGGTTACAATGAAGTTTCTTTCTCTCTCTCTTCACCTCACATGACCCAGTTACCCTCCACAGAGAATATCATCATCAGCTCCTTATAAATCCTTCCAAGACCTTTGAGGTACAGAAAAGCAAATATGTTAATCTTTATTTCCCATTTTTATATAAATGGTAGCATACTACATACAGTATTTTTTATTAACCTCACTTTTTTTCAGGAAACATCTTATGGATTTAGCACATCAAGGGCTTCCTCACTCTTTTTTAAAAGGCTGTGTATCTTATTCCACCATGATTATATCTTAATTTATTCAGACAGCTCTCTACTGAAGGGCATTTTGGTGAGTTTTAAGCTTTTGCTTCTACAAATAATGCTGCAATGAATAACCTTGAACATTTTTCACATGCACGAGTAAATCCATAGGATAAATTCTGGGGTTTGTTCCAGCAACTAGCACTGGCCTAGTTAATACAATTCTCACAATCACACCATGAAGTAGGTTTTTTCTAAACCGAGGTCCCACAAGGTTAATCACACAGCTAAGTGGTGGAGCTAAGATAGGCAGTATGACCTCTCAAACCACTACATTACCCATACACAGCCATCGAGTCGATTCTGACTCATAGCGACCTCATAGGGTTTCCAGGCTATAAATCTCTATGGAAGCAGACTGCCACATCTTTCTCCAATGGAGCCACTGGTGGTTTAAAACCATCAACTGTATGTTTAACAGTCGATTGCTTTAACCACTGCGCCACCAGGGCTCCTTACTACATTACAGTGCTTCTTAAAAACATATGTGAATAGTTTTATAATCTTGCAATTAGAAAAGACTTTCTAGGCAGAACACTAAAGTCTAAAACCATACAGAAAATACAATGTTAAAAAGGGTGTAAAAATCTAAAATTGCAAGCCACAGAAAACAGGGAACGTTTGCAATACATGAGAACCAAACCCAAAACGAACCCATTGCCATCAAGTTGCTTCAGCACCTGTATAAACCATTCTACTAATACCCTGACCCATCCACTCCTTGATATCCTCACTTCCAATCTGTTATTTCACCAAACATGGCAGCCAACATAAGTAGGCACTTCCTCTCTTCCCCTTAAAAAGCCAATCAGTGTCTTACCTTCTGTACTTTTCAAGAAGATTCTTAGCTTGCTCTTTAGCAAACTGAATCCCAGCAGGGCAGTCTGGGAAATCACCTGGGATGTTAGGTGATCTTTTATACTGAGAATGTACTAAACCTTCTTTTAATCCTCCAACTCTGGCACCTCGATAGATCTAAAAGAAATATCAAAAAGATACTGTCAATTTAACTACTTAAAATGAAACTGCTTAATTAATTTGTGCAGGAAAAATGGGAAACAACCTAAATGTGCATCAAAAAGAGAATGGATAATGCACTTAGGGATAACCCCACCATACAACAGTAAAATAGTAAAAATGAATGAAACAGAGCTTCATCAATCAACATATAAAAATCTCAATGCTGAGTGAGTACAGTAAGTTACAAAAGGATATATACAGTGAAATACATAAAGTTTAAAAACATGCCCAACATAGTTATTTTGTTTTTGGATACAAACATACTTAACAAAGCTATGAACACATGCATGGTAGTGACAAACACCAAAATTGGACTAGTGATGATTTTAGAAGGAGGGAGGGAGGGAGGGAAATAGGATTTGACAGGGGCTATATAGGGTACTTCAAGCGAATCTGTAATACTTTATTTTTTAAGCTGGGTGGAGGGTGAAGGATACACAGGCATTCATTTTATCAGTGTCTATAGTTTTTTGTTTTATTGTACCTTAGATGAAGGTTTACAGAACCAACTAGTTTCTCATTAAACAGTACACATATTGTTTTATGACACTGGTTAACAACCCCACGATACAGTAACATTTTCCCTTCTCAACCTTGGGTTCCCTATTACCAGCTTTCCTGTCCCCTTCTGCCTTCTAGTCCTTGCCCCTGGGCTGTTGTGCCCCTTTTAGTCTTGTTTTGTTTTATGGGCCTGTCTAAACTTTGGCTGAAGGGTGAACCTCCAGAGTGACTTTATTACTGAGCTAAAAGGGTGTCCGGGGTCCATACTCTTGGGGTTTCTCCAGTCTCTGTCAGGCCAGTAAGTCTGGCCTTTTTTTATGAGTTAGAGCATTGTTCTACATTTTTCTCCAGCTCTGTCTGGGACCCTCTATTGTGATCCCTGTCAAGAGCAGTTGGTGGTGGTAGCCGGGCACCATCTAGTTGTACTGGACTCAGTCTGGTGGAGGCCATGGTAGTTGCGGTCCATTAGTCCTTTGGACTAATCTTTCCTTTGTGTCTTTAGTTTTCTTTATTCTCCCTTGCTCCCAAAGGGATGAGACTAGTGGAGTATCTTAGATGGCTGCTCACAGGCTTTTAAGACCCCAGACGCTACTCACCAAAGTAGAATATAGAACATCCTCTTTATAAACTATGTTATGCCAATTGAGCTAGATGTTCCCCGAGACCATGGCTCAGTAACTATGGTTTTTGTGTACTTGGAATATTTCATAATAAAAATAATTACGCAGGATTATTTTAAAATATTTCCCACCTAAATGATTAAATGAATTTCCTTTGTACTAGGCGTAATTGCTAAAAATTACCTGCATGAATCTAACAAATTCTTACATGCCTTTTATAATCTATAGCACCAAAGTAACATTTAAACCAACCAGAAAAAAAGACCATTCAATTTTAATAAAACTTTTTGCTACAGTAGATAAACCAGGAGTATATGACTAGCATTTTTTTAAAAAATGTTTTCTATACATCTATAAAAGTTAAGTCTTTTGTTTTTAAACTATAATAGATTTCTTCAAGTGAAAAACCTCAACATTTTGTTGCCTCTACTATTCAAATATCAGGCCACTTTAAAACCCTCAAAAATTCACAATACATCAGCACAACTCTTATGAATGAAAAACTGCTTCCAAGAACTAGATTCATGAAATATCTTGTATCCAGAATTATACTCTAAGGGCAGAAAAGTACCACTCAATTTCGAAGTTGTGCATAGGTCTGAACATTTTTCAGCACTCAGTATTCATTAGGAATGCATTTTAAATGTTGTAACTATTAGTCAGAATCAAAAAGTAAACTTACAAATGGAATCCAGAAAGCCATGCCCCAGCCCTTTGGAAGAAGGACATCCCAGCCACTTCCCCATCCCCGTCGGTCTTCACCAGTTACTTTCCCTGGCTGGTGAATCAAAAGTATAGGTATCTTGGATTCCTGGGGACCTAAAACAAGCTGTGACCCAGGCACCAGCAATTCACTTCTCATCCGGTTTAAATCCTAAAGTGGAAGAAAATAATTCAAGACAAACAACTCAAGTCTTCTGGGAGATTCTAGTGGGTCTCCCAATAAGCAGCTTTTAAAAGTTAAATACCCTTCTAAAAGGCAAAGAAAAACAAAAAGCATTCTCAACAAATAAATGGGAGCCATTTTAACTAAAAGGTAGCCCTCCTATGATAAAGCTTTTCCTCTCTACAAGTGCCAAATTATTTTAAATAAGCTGCTAAATTTGGGCTGGAATATACTAGATGATTCAAAGTTATAAAATGACATGTATTCATTCTGCTAATCGCTTATATCAAGATTAATCTTATGTTTTGATACTCTGTCCCTACATTTATTTTGATTAAAATCTGTTGTCATGAAATAAAAAGATAAAAATAATACAGTGACAATGTCTTAAGAAGGGGCAACTGGAAAAACACAGTGACTCCTGAGGATTTTTCACTACCTCTTAAGCATTCAAGACAGAAAATTCTATAAATTATTTGTTAAGTGGAACATAAAGAGTAGACAATAACACAAGCTTTCAGATTTCTCTTGTCAGCTGTAAAACCAGATTAATAGGTAGGCCAGAGGGCTACCACTTGATTTAGAAAACTGTACAAGAGACTGCCTCCATGTTGAAAAGTCTAATTGCACCTCAGGAAGCTCTTCAGGCCATGGCCAAGTCCTAATTCTTTTTTCTACCTTTGTACCAGTTTCCACTACCATCTGCATGCTGGTGATTCCAAAATATGTCTCTCTTCATCCCAGACCTTTCCTCCCTGAACAGAAACCTGTATCCCAGACATCTGTTCCTGGGAAGTCCCACGTTATTGTTGTTAACTTGCTGTCGAGCTGGCTCCAACTCATAGCGATCCCACATACAACAGAATGAAATGTTGCCCGGTCCTGTGCCATCTTCATGATCACTGGTATGCTCGAGTCCACTGTTGCAGCCACTGTGTATTCTGAGTGCTTTCCAAACTAGGGGGCTCATCTTCCAGCACTATACTGGACAATATTCTGCTCTGCTCCGTAGGGTTTTCATTGCCTAATTTTCGAAAGTAGATTGGCAGGCCTTTCTATCTTAGTCTGGAAGCTCTGCTGAAACCTGTCCACCATGGGTGACCCGATTGGTATTGGAAATATCAGTGGCATAGCTTTCAGCATCACAGCAACATGCCAGCCACCACAGTACAACAAACTGACAGACAGGTGGTGGGGAAGTCCCATAAGCCCCTCAAACTCAATTTATCCAAGACTGACCACATCATCTTTCCCACCACCTTTGCTTTCTACCTCTATTCCCCATCTAGCTGAAAGATGCCATAATTCACACAGATCATTTACTCACTCACTCAAATATTTACTTAGTGCATCTTATGTGCCAGACACTTTGCTAGAATCTGGAAATACGGCACAACAAACAAGTCAGACATGGTCTTGGTTCTCTTTTAGCTGACATTCTAAACCCTAGGTGGAATATTAGGAGCTAGCCTACAGGTCTCCTCCTTTCTTTCCTCTCATCTTCCAACCAGCTACAAAGTCTTGTCAATTTTACCTTCCAGAAATATATATTAAGCTCCATCCCCTTCATCCCAGGTCCCCTCCCCACTGCCACAATTCAGGCCCCCATCATTTCACACCTGGACGATCTCAAGGGCTCTTGAGGTCATCCAACCACTAGTCTCTCCAGCTCCGCTCCTTCCCATCCTCATCCCCAGTCTAATCTACTTTCCATACTACTACCAGAGTGAAATCTGATCATGTCATCGTTCTGCTTAAAACTTTATCTTCACAATAAAATCCAAATACTTAAAATGACTCAAGGCCCCTATTTATCTTTCCAGTTTCATTTCCTGCCCCACCTTCAACTCTAAGCTACTGCTCTATTTGGAGACTCAGGAGCATATCATCCTGTTTTGGCCTGGGCCTTTGGGCATGCTGTTCTCACTTCCTGCAATCCTTTCTCCACGGCAGCCTTGCCCCTGCCCCTGACCCAAAGAAGTCTGGTTAATTCTGACCAGCCCCTCCAACTAGGAAGCCTCCCCTAATTTCCCTAGTCAGAGCTCAGAACCTCTTCCTTAGGCTTCCTCAGTACCCTATACCTTTGACTATATCCTATTCATCTACCCCACCACCTATTACACTGCCTGGCCCGTGGTAGGTGTTCAGAAATGTGAAATTAAACAAGACAGAAACCATTTAAGGGAAAAAGGAAAAAAAAAGAAAGAAAAACATGTATTTAAACTACAAGGCTATCATTTCAAGAAAAAGTCTTTAACTTTTTCTAGAGATAGTCTACCCTAAAAATAGGAGAAAGAAGTATCTTAGTGTGTATCATAAGGGATCAATAATTTGAAAATAAAAGGAAGTCTATGGCATTCTATAAAGTATGAAATAACTCTTTACAGCTTCTAGAATTGTCACCAGTCATTCATGACCTTACCAATAATCCATATGCCATTAGTTACCTGCTCCGAGATTTTATTCTCTGTAACACTCTTACAGATAGCTTGGTTCCAGATAAAGCTATGCGTACACTCCACAGGCACACCCTCCAGAAGCAGCTGTCTAACTTTTTCATTATCTAAGACGGAAAAGAAACAGCCTTCAAACCACATCCTTCAGATCAATGAAGTCAAACTCTAAAAGTTGCCAGTAGACCTTTTTGTTATACAAGAAAGTATTTTATAGGGATTTACTTAACTTCTCTAGAAGAAGACATTTGACAAGAAATTAAGTTATTCTTACAGCCGGTTTCATAATTTGTGAACTAGCAAAGGCTCTGAAAATTTTTATTGTTGACACTTATTTTTAGTGTATTAAAAGCATGCAAACATCACATTAAATTGCCTCTAACTGCCTAATTCCAAATTCAAGAAAATCAAATTCTAGAACCACTGCAGAGGTGAGCAATGCCTCTATAAATTGCTGAGACAGGCCAGGCTGTGTTTTAGCTATTGGCTTCAGTGCTTTTTCTACCATTCCTGGCACAACAGCAGGGAGCCAACAGATATTATCCTTTTCTTCTGCCTCATACTTCAAATCTCTGATATCCATTTTTAATTGAACTAAATATTTAGTCCTCTGTGAATCAAATTATTCTAGTCCATTAAAATGAGCTTATTTTCTGTGAAACATCATTTCATCTCTTTAAATAAGCCACACTACACCAGAAAATACTCTAATGGAGAAGGGGAAGGAATTTTTTCTAGTTGTAAGCATGTATATTAACAGGAGAAACACCCTACCTGCCAAATTTCATTCTGATAGACTGAAGGATGAAAAAACAAAACAACAACAAAAAAAACCTCAGCCAATTCATGAGCTTTGGTAATGGTTCTAAAATGCCAACGTAGAAAGGTCACTCAAAGTCACATACCTGTGTGGATCTCATGGCTGGAAAAAAAAATAAGTTGGAAGCGTAACAAAGCACGGGCCAAAGTGTGATAGATCTCAGGGGAGAACAAAGTTAAAGAAAATCAAATTGATGAAAAGTTCTGAGATGCAAACTCCTTAAAAGCAGCAACTGCAAGAGGTGTCGCACGAATAAACGTATGCACACCCATGATCATTGCAGCATTATTCACAATAGTAAAAAGATGGAAACAACCTAAGTGCCCATCAACAGATGAACAAATAAATTATGGTACATGCACACAATGGAATACTATGCAACGATAAAGAACAATGATGAATCCACAAAACTTCTCACAACATGGATGAATCTGGAGGGCATCATGCTGAGTGAAATAAGTCAATCACAAAAGGACAAATACTGCATGAGACCACTATTATGAAAACTCAAGAGAAGGTTTACACACAGAAAAAACAATCTTTGATGGTTATGAGGGAGGGGAGGGTTGGGAGGGGAAATCACTAACTAGATAGTAGACAAGTATTAACTTCGGTGAAGGGAAAGACAACACACAACATACGGACAGTCAGAACAACTTCACCAAGGCAAAGCCACATTAAGTTTTTTAGATACACCAAACACATTGAGGGACCAAGTTACTGGGGCTGAGGACTGGGGACCATGATCTCTGGGGACATCTAGGTCAACTGGCATAACATAGTTCATGAAGAAAATATTCTACATCCTACTTTAGTGACTAGTGTCTGGGTCTTAAAAGCTTGTGAACAACCATCTAAAATACATCTATTGGTCCCATCACATTTGGAGCAAAGGAGAATGAAGAAAACCAAAGACACAAGGAAAATATCAATCCAAAGGACTAATGGACCACATGAACCACAGCCTCCACCAGCCTGAGCTCAGAAGAATTAGATGGTGCCCAGCTACCACCACTGCTCTGACAGGAATCACAATAGACGGTTCGGGACAGAGTAGAAGACAAATATAGAACAAAATTCAAATTCACAAAAAAAGACCAGATTTACTGGTCTGACAGAGACTGGAGGGACCCCTGAGACTATGGCCCTCAGAAACCCTGCTAACTCAGAACTGAAGCCACTCCCGAAGTCCACCATTCAGCCAAAGACGAGACACGCCTATAAAACAAACAACATGTGAGGAATATGCTCCTTAGATCAATCAAGTATAGGAGACCTAAGGGGCTAATGCCCAAAAGCAAAGACGAGAAGGCAGGAAAACCTGGATGAAAGGACAGAGGGAATACAGGGTGTAGAGGGAAAGGGGGAGAGTGCTGACACATTGCAGAGATTGCAACCAATGTCACAAAACAATTTGTGTATAAATTTTTGAATGAGAAACTAATTCGCGCTGTAAACTTTCACCTAAAACACAATTTAAAAAAAAAAAAAGCAGCAACTACATCTAGTACACTGCTCTTCCTCAGAGAGCTAATAGTCAAGAGCATCTCAAGTCGCAGCACTGCATATTGTGGAAGTTCACACAGCCCGTCTAGGAGCAAACAAGCTCCATTTCAAATAGCCTCTGTCTATCCAGAGCCCTTTTCTTGTAGAGCACTGCTATAGATTTGAGTACTGCAACTCAGATTTCATCACATTGGGCTGCAGACAAAAGATACGGTTAATTCCCAGGGTGTAACGACACAGGAAAGGACTAACTCATCTCTAAAGATTCTTAAAAAAATTTTTTTAAAAAGAAAGTACAGTATGTCTGAAGGCAAAGGAGAAGGACCTTCTAGGTTAACAGTACCCACAGGTGAGAGAAAAGAATATCACCAGCTGAGTCAGCATGCAATGCACAAATATCAATTCTGGATGTAATTACAAGTCCGGCCTCAACACTCATGTTAAGCATTTTCTCCTTCATATCCAGACAAAGCCTTCTAATTAACTACATAACTCCAGAATTATGACTTAAAGGTTGACTGAAATAGCTTGTTTTCTCCTTTCTTACATGTATATGAAACTCACCAAATTTCAAATTTTCTTTAAAAGGTTTACTTACAGAAGCAAAGGAAACTAATAAAAGGCTGTATCATTTGGGAATCAAACAAAACCAAAGCTATAGCCTTCAAATTCGCTCTATTTTTAATATGCAGAGCAGTTAGAGGGGGCCCAGGTGAAGCTATTAGATTTTTTCTCCCAAGAGCAGAAACTAAGAAGCTACGGCTGTATGACCAGTAACTGGCACTTCTGAAAGTCAGCTGCAGACCAGCACTCTAAAGTGCTGGCACAAGCTGTAAAAAAAAAAAAGGATGATCACTCACCTACCATGCTAAGTGGAACAAGACTCTTTCCATGTTTTTGGTAGTATGGCAGGTCACACTACCAAGCAATTTTAAAGAGAAAGACTAAAACAAGCTTTACAAGCACAACATAAGTTCAATGTTTTCTAAAGCACAAGGACCAGTTAAAAAAAATCTATCAAAGCAAATCAGCAAATGCTAAGGAAGCAAATTACAAAAAACAGTACAGCAGGAATAATATTTTTAAATCTCAACAAGAACACCCGTTACTTGTATGCAAAAATGCTGCAAAAGATCTCTTTAAAGTGTTAAGATGAAAGGAACATACAGAGTCACTGTACCAAAAAGATTTGGTCAACATTCAACCACTTCAGGAGGCAGCATATGATCAAGAATCGATGGAAGAAGTCCAAGCTGCACTAAAGGCACTGGCGAAAACAAGTCTCCAGTAATTTGCGGAATACCAACTGAGATGTTCCCACGAACAGATGCAGCACTGGAGGTGCTCACTCATCCATGCCAAGAAATTTGGAAGACAGCTAGCTACCTAGCCAACTGACTGGAAAAGATCCATATTTTACCCATTCCAAAGAAAGGTGATCCAAAAGAATGTGGACATTATTGAACAGTATCATTCATATCACACACAAGTAAAATTTTGCTGAATATCATTCAAAAACAGTTGCAGCAGTACATCGACAGGGAACTGCTAGAAAGTCAAGCCAGATTCAGAAGAGGATGTGGAACGAGGGATATCACTGCTGATGTCATATGGAACTTGGCTGAAAGCGAAGAATACCAGAAAGATGTTTACTTGTGTTTTAGTGACTATGCAAAGGCATTTGACTGTGTGGATCATAAAAAATTGAGAGGAATGGGAATTCCAGAACACTTAATTGGGCTTGTGAGGAAACTGTACATAGACCAAGAGGCAGTCATTCAAACAGAACAAGTGGATATTGTGTGGTTTAAAATCAGAAAAAGTGTGTGTCAATGTTGTATTCTTTTCACCATACTGATTCAATCTGTTAGCTAAGCAAATAACCCGAGAAGCTGGACTATATGAAGAAGAACACGGCATCAAGACTGGAGGAAGACTCATTAACCACCTGTGATATGCAGATGATGCACTCCTGCTTGCTGAAAGTGAAGAGGACTTGAAGCACTTACTGATGAAGATCAGAGACCACAGCCTTCAGTAAGGATTGCACCTCAATATAAAGAAAACAAAAATCCTCACAACTGAACGAAACAGCAATATCATGATAAACAGAGAAAACACTGAAGTTGTCAAGTATTTCATTTTACTGGGATCCACAATCAACACCCATGGAAGCAGCAATCAGGAAATCAAATGACATATTGCACTGGGCAAATCTACTACAAAAGACCTTTTTAAAGTGTTAAAAAGCAAAGATGTCACTTTGAGGACTAAGATGCGCCTGACCCAAGCCATGGTGTTTTCAATCATCTCATTTGCATGTGAAACCTGGACTATGAATAAGGAAGAGTGAAGAAGAATTGATGCCTCTGAATGATGGTGTTGGCAAAGAATACTGAATATACCATGGACTGCCACAAGAATGAACAAGTCTGTCTTGGAAGATGTATAGCCAGAGTGCTCCTTGGAAGCAAGAATGGCAAACCTTTGTTTCACACACTTTGGACTTGTTATCAGGAGGGATCAGTCCCTGGAGAAGGATGTCATGCTTGGTAAAGTAGAGGGTCAGCGAAAAAGAGGAAGACCCTCAATAAGATGGATTCACACAGTGGATGCAACAATGGGCTCAAACATAGCAATGATTGTGAGGATGGCGCAGGACTGGGAAGTGTTCCGTTCTGTTGTACACAGGGTCACTATGAGTCAGAACTGACTTGATGGCACCTAACAACGGTATTTAATTCAAGCTCAAGAGCCAAATGATCAAGAAAACCTTTTCAGAGCATCTGAGAATATGCACCATCACTTCAGGTTCTTCATGTACCCTCTCTTCAGAGCACTCTAATTCCCAGTACACAAAAGAAGACAAAAAGGTTGTCATCCACATCAGGCAAGCCCTTCTTTTTTTCTTTTTTTTAATTAACTGACCAAGCTCATCAAAGTATATTTCTAACCTTAGTTTTGAGTCATCGTCCTAGAGGTGTTATGGTTGTTAGAACGACTGTTACACAATAGTAACTCCTTAAAAAGTTTACTTCTTTATGTAGCTCACCTGCCAAATACTTCTTCAAAGAAATCACTTAAACCAGGTATTAATCAAAGATCACAGCAGTGACTAACATGATGACAAGCTTTTATCAAAGAATTAAATTGTGCTTTTCAAGATACTTTAATTTTCCTTGAAGTGATTCAGATTAAGATGAAAAGCCTTAGAAAGGATTTAATACATAACTGCCCATTCCAAAACAGGATTTGAGGCAGCAAGGAAAGCTAAGTAGAATTCAACTACAGCTTTAAAGTGGTTACGATAGTCAACATTTACTTGTTTGTTGGACGTAGTCTAAGAAAAGCAGACACTGCAACTTTTAGGATTGCACCAAACCACAATGCCATTAAAAAAAAACAAAACCCAAAAAGAGGCAACCATTCATTGAGTAAAGTCTTAGGCCTCATAATTAGCTAACTTACCATAATATCTTCACACTCCTCTCTCATCCAATCCACCTTTCATGTGAAGTTCTGAGAGAAGTTTATTACTCACTTAACAAGCTATCTAGTTACATGTGGAGAGGTAAAAAAGTCTTACATTACTACACACACCTGTATTTTTTCCACAAACATTCACAAGCCTAATTTTAATTATCCTTCCAATTAAATGCGTTTCAATGACAGTAAATACAATGAAAGATTACGGCAATCCCTGCAAATCCCAGATAAAACTAAAATTTTAGCCAACCCCCTACCCGCCTTGCTTTGCTACTCCAACCCAACAATTCTCTCAGGCCACTCAACTCAGTCTAAACCAAGACATCTCAGACCTCAGCACCTGGGATGGCCTTGCCAGGATTCGAACCTGGATCATCTGTATGGTCAGACAGAGGCTTCCACTGAGCACAAGACCAGCTGCGGGTGCAGATCCCTTCCTCACAATTAAAATCCTGAAATGCCAGGCATTTTTGGAGAACTTGGTTTGCAGAGAGTCAGGTTTTACTAGATACTAAATACAGAGAACTCATTAAAAAAAAAAAAAAAAAAAAACCAAAAAACGTAAGAATCAGGTTACATGTTTTCCAGCTAGAAGATACTTCCATGCACGGTCCCCTTTCCATCGTAATCATCTTGCAACGCAGACAGATAAAGACTGCCCTCATTTTTTACAGGTGAAGTTATTAAACAGGAGTCAGAGACATAACTCTTCTACTGGACTGCTCAAAATAACAAGGAAAATCAGGGGTTCTTTCAAGAGCTTTACCTTGGCATTTTTCTGGATCGGGCAAAGCTTTGGACCTCTTTTGAGGCAAATTTATTCGAGGATCCCCAACTGTCAGTCCCAGAATAGTACCTGCTGGAATTTCTGCTGGTGATGTTATTCCTTTAACAACAACAACAACAAAAAAAACTTTCAGAAAGTGATTCACATTAAATACACACTTGCTTATATTTTCAGATCTTTCACATTTTCTAGTGACACTTTTTTCTTCATATTTAAAAATAAGTCTTCGCTTCTTTCCCATTGGTACTTTAAGAGAATAAATCGACATTCATAAAGAGCCAAGAGTTTCTGCAAAAACCATTAAACTGACATACAACAGGGTATTTTACAACACAAACATGTATGCTTCTGTCAATGATAACTATAGTAGCTATGAGCACAATGCAACCATGTATAAGTTAGCATAGATTTTAGTTCAGTACCTAGTATGTGCATTTATCTGTATCAAATGCCAGCTACTTAGAATATTGACATTGCATATTTGTTTGTTTCATAAACATGAATATAATGTTTATTCTATTCACCGAGCTTAGGGATCACTCTTAGTTGCTTCTCTTGCTGTACTTTAACGAACAGCTGCAAGTTAAAAAGCAACAATACACGTAGGTAGAGTCCCTGGGTGATGCAAACGGTTAAGAGTTAGGCTGCTAAATGAAAGGTTGGAGGTTTGGGTCCGCCCTGAGGCACTCTGGAAGAAAAGCCTAGCAATCTCTTTCCAAAAAATCATTAACTGAAAACTCTACGGAGCACAGTTCTACTCTGACACACATGGGGTTGCCATGAGTCAGAACTGACTCCACGGCAACTGGTGCTGGTATTATACATGTAGGTGGCACAAGTGTAAGATGCTCTTTTAACCCACTTCCCTTCCTCCCCAGAATAAGCCAGTATTCCCTTTGTATACCTCCCAACAATTCAAAAATGGCTTCTTGTCTGTGATGAAGGGAGATGTTATCAGGATTCTTACAGGTTTCAATCCACCAACAGTGAGGTGTCTTCTCTGTATCCTCTCCCTCCTGAAAAAGAACAGCTCCTGTTAACTAGACAAATAATGAATCAGACTTTCAATAATTTTGTTATAGTTGTGATATCAGCCTCACACCCCTTGTGTGTGTGTGTGACTGTGTGATGGGCGAACCAGGGAGGCTGCCATTATATTTAATATGGCGATTAACGCCAGACTAACTACTCTTCTAATCAGAGGCAAACCAAAAAAACCAAACCTGTTGCTGTCGAGTTGATTGACTCATAGCGACCCTATAGGACAGAGAGTAGAACTGCCCCATAGGGTTTCCAAGGCTGTAATCTTTATGGAAGCAGACGGCCACATCTTCCTTCCATGGAGCCACTGGTGGCTTCGAACCACCGACCTTTCAGTTAGAAGCTGAGTGCTTAACCACTGTGCCACCAGGGCTTCTTAATTAGAGGCAAGGCCACAATATTACACTTCTCTCAAGATTTTACATACTAAGAAAAGCACTGGTACTGGTTCTTGTAAAAACTCGAAACTTGTTCATATCCATCATCATGTATCTGACCTTGTCAAACGTGTGCTGAGAAGGTTGGCTGCACTACTACAGGAAAACAAATGGAGCCTGAACCCAGAGTGGCCAGTTCTTAGTCTCCACTCTCTAGACCTGCAGTATCCCCTTGGGTAGCTATTAGCCACATACAGCTGCTCAAACTTCATTGCCATTTAACCAAAATGAAATAAAAGTACAAATTCAGTTCCTCAGTCACCCCAGTCACATTTCAAGAACTGGACAACACAAAGGAACATCACTGCTGCAGAGAGTGCCAGTGGACAGTGCTGCACCAGAACCATTGTTCAGAACTTTCTCAGGGGTCACAGACCCGTACAACTAGCCCCAGAAAATACGCATCGCACGTGTACATACATGCAAAAAAATCTGCATACAACTTGAGGGATTTTTCCCTAAAAATCAGGGAAAACCAGTGAGTGGCCTCCCCAGTACCAACCCACGGATCAGAGGTTAAGACCCTTCAACTGGAATAGACTCAACGGCAACAGGTTTGGTTTTTTTGGTATTAGACTCACAAGCTGGAAGTCTGTATTTCAATATGAACAACTCAGTTTACTTATCGCATCCACTTAGATCTGCTCTTCTAGAAGTGAAAGATAAGAAAATCTTTGATAACAAGTACAAGTAGGGCAATAAACATTGATAAGCCATGGCCCAAAATGTTACCAAATTATATATTAATCAAAAACCAAACCCGTTGCCGTCAAGTCGATTGACTCATAATGACCCTACAGGACAGAGAAGAACTGCCCCATAGCATGTAATCTTTACAGAAGCAGACTGCCACATCTTTCTCCTGCAGAGCGGCTGGTGGGTTCGAACCGTAAACCTTTTGGTTAGCAGCCCGGCACTTAGCCACTGCACCACCAGGGCTCCTTAGTTATGTATTACCCATTGCTGTCGAGTCAATTCTGACTCAAAGAGACCCCATAAGGTTTCCAAGGCTATAAATCTTTACGAAAGCAGACTGCCACATCTTTATCCCATGCAGCCACTGGTGGTTTTGAACTGTTGACCTTTAGGTTAGCAGTCAAATGCTTCAATCACTGCGCCAGCGCAGCTCATAATTATGTATTAGGCTTCACAAATTTGCCAGAATGACATGACAAGAATGAAACAGTACAGTCACATTTACTCTTACAGTGTGGACAGAAGCAGCTTTCAGCGCCTCCGTTAGGATGGAATGGGAGAGTGGACCAATCAGCCGGTATCTGTTCATCTCCATTGTCAAATCACTAAAAGACAGAAAAAGAAATTTCCATCATATACATCATCTGTGCCATTGGCAAAAATGGAGAAGTCTTTATTAAAAATGTTCAGTAGGTTCAGAGCAAGTTCAACCCATACCTAATTACAATGCATGTGGCTGGCGATACCCAAGAACACGGTTGGTGTGGATCTCTAGTTCCATCCCCAATAATTTTTTTAACTGGTTTAGCATTTTCTCCATCATCTTTCCATTTTCTTTTCTTGCCAATTTTCTCATCAGGCAGTTCCATTTGGCTTTTTTCTTGGGGTGGTGTCAGAAGAGGGTCAGGAGTGCAGACTGTTGATTTGTTAGGCTCTACACACTGGCACACTGCTTTTATTTCCTCTAAGACATCCTAAGGATATATTTAAACATTTACTTTTCTAATCACATTACAGATTTAAGTTAGTTTCACCAAAAAACCAAACCCACTGCCGTCGAGTCGATTCTGACTCATAGTGACCCTATAGGACAAACGGAATTGCCCCATAGGGTTTTCAAGGAGTGGCTGGTGGATTAGAACTGCCAACCTTTTGATTAGCAGCCAAGCCCTTAACCACTGCACGACCAGGGTTTAGTGTATGTTATTTTTTTCTCCCTTTTAAAAATTCATATCTTTATATCTTCACAAATTGTAAAGTCACATCATCTAAAGCTTTTTTGGTTTTTTTGAGTAGCTCATGGCAATTTGAACAAAACAGTACTCCTAAATGTCAAAGATTATGAAAACAACAAGATCACTCTGACCGAACTTAAAAAAAGTAAGTGTAAAAAGAAAACTGGAGAAAGTTGATAGCCTAAAAGCAGTGAGTATGCCAAAGAAGAGCAGCTAAGCTACATGCAGTATTTTAAAAAATCATCAGAATTACTAAAAACAGCTTCAAATAGGCTCTAACAAGCACCTAAAGCACCTAGATACCTGTGGATCAATTCAGGCAGAGCGGAGGCATTGGTCCAAATGCAACATTGCAAACCATTTGCGTAATAGGTTGGTTTTCATCTCTCTATGTACTTAAGGCCTACTAAAAAGTGAGAGGTCAAGGTGTACTTCATTTGATATTTAAACAACTTCCCCCCCTATATTCAAATATCAAATTAACAGCCAAATTTTTACGCTTTTAAGTTTCTAGAGTATTGACTTCCAGCAGTAATTAAGAACGCAGGAACACAACGATGGGAAACTAATCTGAAGGATACCTGTTTAAGAGTGGGATGGAGCCAGATCCACAACTGCCTGCTCTCCGAGGCGTCCCCAGGGTTCCTCTCAGACTTCCAAATGAATGTGACAGGCCCAAGCATTTCTCTGGGGTATCGATTTGCCCGGTAAAGCATCAAACTACCTTGACGCTTTCCAGATAAACAGTGAACTGCTGCAAAAGTCAATCCTGGCAATGACAAAAGCAAAATTCCATGATTTCAAGTGTTGAGACTGCCATTATTATTTCCTTATGGCCATATTATTTATTGTGTCTCCCAGAGGGATGAAGTTTTGTTTTTGATCACTGTCTACATCAAAGCCTGACATACAATAAGATCTCAATAAACACTTACTGAATAAATGATTTAATGAAAGTTTCCGGTTTCTTCTTGCCTAATTTCACTCCACTAGAAAAACGGTTCTCTCACTTTACACTTGACAATGTTAGAAATTATTTAAAAGCCACCTACCTTTCCTTAAGTTAACTGGCGACAAGAACTGTCTCACATATGTTTATGTATATTTAAATGCCAAAATGCTTATCGCAGACACTCATTCATGAAATGAAATAAATATACAAGGACTAAAATGGGACTTGGCTTTAAAATAACTTTACCTGTGTCTATGCTACACATTTGAGAAAGCGCCTTTAGTATTTCCTCTTCTTTGCCCTTCAACTCCAAACAACAGTAGTAGGATAAATCCTGCACAAAGTGGGCGACAAAATTAAATAGTTAGACGTTTACATAGGGTCAAACTGCTAAGAAGCCAGAAGCCTCTAGAAATCCAAGACACAGGAAAAATTGCTAAAGCCATCTTTTCATAAGTCAACATCTGAAAACTGCCAATTCCTTATTACATTAACAAATATTCCTAAACCAGTTGGGATCAAAATGAAATGGTTTACGTTATTCATAATTTTCATTTAAAAAGGACTTTACAGTGTCCTACTTTTTAGGAAGAAAATCTGTGTTTTATCCTGTATTTACACACAAGTTCCAAGCAGCGTGTAAAAACTGCTTCTAAGTAAAGGATTATTCCTCCTCAGAATCTATCTAAGATAAGAAACCAAAGTAGAATAAGCAAAACAACAATAAATTCTGCAAAATTATGCTAAGGTTGCTCACTCTGGTTAGCTAATCTGGGGCCTCAGCATTACTTAACACCCAAGCCTAAAGACACAGTGCTGCAAAACCTAATTTATCCCAGATTCCTCAGTCTTTACTATACGTACCTTTCACTAAGTAACAATATACAAGGAAAAACGAGATTAATGAGAGTAAGACCATACCATCTTAAATAGATCAAAAGAGATCAGAATGAGTTAGTGAAATCAATATGTTAAACAACTGTAATAACAGTTAATATTCCCTGGAGGGTTACTGAGTGCCAGGCACTGGGTTAAACTCCTGTCGTGGACTGTCATTTAATCCTCCCAACAACCTTATGAACTAGACACTATGTCATCTCATTTGACAAAGGGTGTTACTTGAACAAAGTCATACAGGTAGCAAACGGAGGAGTCAAGACCAAGAGTGTGAAAGATAGGCCCTTCTGCAAAGAGCAAATTTCTAAATACGTACTGAAAAAGAATAGGAATCAATTTAATTAGCTATTTAGGGGTGGAAGGTGTCAAATAAATACTACTAAGAGGTTCTAAAAGAAGCCTTGTAGCATAATGATTAAGAGTTCAACAGCTGGCAGTTTGAACCCACCCATCAGCTTCTCGGGAGAAAGACCTGGTGATCCGCTTCCATAAAGATTGCAGCCAAGAAAACTCTATAGGGCAGTTCTACTCTGTCACATGGGGTTGCTGTGAGTTAAGATCGACTCGACAGCACCTAACAACAAGATGCTCTAAAACAAACTCTCCTCTCAAAGAGTTTAAAACATCTTTCCCAGCATCCCACTGCACCCAGGGCAGTATTTTGAACACTCCTCAGGGCACATAGTAAAACCAAAACCAAACCCACTGCTGTCAAGTCGATTCCGACTCACAGCAGCCCTGTAGGACAGAGTAGAACTGCCCTAAAAGGTTTCCAAGGCTATAAATCTTCACAGAATCGACTGCCACATCTCTCTCCCACGGAGCAGCTGGTGGGCTCAAATCGCTGACCTTTTGGTTGGCAGCTGATCGCTTTAACCACTGCACCACCAGGGCTCCCTACTAATGAATCAATGTTGAATAATCTGAAATACGGCCAACAAGACCCTGCATGATCCAGTTCCTACTTATTCCCCTAGCCTAATGACACAAATACATCCTTGCTCTCACTCTCTTCATCCTTGTCGCACAGAGCTTCCTTCAATTCTTCACTCGCCAGGCTTCTTTCTGTCTCCCCCATGCCCACGTTCTCTTATCCATTAAATCTCAGCTCCACCATCGCTTCCACGGGGAAGTCTGCCTTGTTTCTGTTATAAATGCTCATACTGCATACTTTTCCTTTATAATCAAATATTTGGCTAAGGATTCAATTAATGTCAGTCTCCCCACTATCTCCAGCATCTACCAAAGTGCTTTGTGCTCAGTAATAATTTTAAAATGAATAACCTCATACACAGGGCTTTGGTATACCAGAAACTATTCTAAAAGCCTACCGTATTTCTAAGCAAATAATGCATGCCTTCTGTGTTTGTTTCCTGGCTGCACCCTAGCTCCCCAAGAAGTAACCCCCGCAAGAGGTATTTTCATAAGCATGCTATGCTTAATTTTTTTTTGTTTTTACAGCAACATGTGGAAGAGGATTGGTGTGGCGGTGCTTGTGAGGGTACCTCATAGGGGGAGGGTGCGGCCAGCAAACAAACGCAGAAGGCACACGCTATCTGCATAAAAATATGGTATACTTGAAAGGATCTAAATACAGATAAGAAGAAAATCAAATTGGAAAAGCATACCTGAAGGAGGCAACCGTTTGTCATGGCTCGATAGCAGGCTCGGTGGCTCTTGACTGTCGGCCTCTCCCCAAGGCAGTAGCCCCACTTCTTGACCATGTGAAACCGTTTGGCATGCCAGATATGAGTTTCTAACCACATGTTCTTCTTTTGTCTACGGTTAAATTCCAGCACCTGGTTTTTGTGACATCTTCGAGCTTTATGGCATTTATTTTTTGAATGTTTTTTTTTCTGATGCACTGCTTTCTCTGCCTGTGTTTTCAAGAAGAGAAGGTAGATTCTAGTTTGTAAGTATCTCAAAACAAAGTTAAATGTTAGGAGTTCAAAACAACTAGTTTTAGATTAAGAGGAGTACCTTATAGACCCCCAGCACCCCCCCAACAAAAAACAAATAAACCCGCTGCCGTCGAATCAATTCCGACTCATAGCAACCCTATAAATACTAAATTTCTTAACACATTACATTTCAGTTAAGCTACTCCAATGAAAACAGAGAAAGGCAATAGAAAGAGTGAAGGTTTTAAGAGTTGGACAAACCTAGGAAGGAATCACAGCTCTATGATTTTCTAACTCAGCAAGCTTCATAGATTATGACGATTCAAATATTTCTAAAATGTCCAACACAGTAACACAAATTTAATAAATAAGTATTAATAAATTAATAACCTACCCAGCAGCTCCTAGGAAGAAAGACCTGGCCATCTGCTTCCATAAAGGTTACAGCCAAGAAAACCCTAGGGGGCAGTTCTACTACATCACATGGGGTCACTATGAGTTGAAATTGACTCAATGGCACCCAACAACAATATCAGATAGCAAAAGAGAGTAAATCAAACTCTAGTTTTGTTTGTTGTTAACCTCTATGACTGTAACTAAAACCAAAGCTAAGGACCAAAATTACAAAAGTGAGGAAAACGCACACATTTCATTTCAGTTAGGCTACCGACAGACAAGTGCTAATGTAAGGAAACATACCTTACATCAAATCTAGGAAGTACAATTCATGGTTAGTCTTTACTCTTACTGTCTTCCATACTCAGGCTAAACATTTTTGGAAAAAAATTCTTTTCCACTAGTTTGTGAACCCTTGAGGGTAAGGATTTAACCCTCTTGAACACTGTCCCTACCACCTAGCACAGTAGCTGGTACACGGAAGACACTCAATAAATACATTTTGAATCAATTTAATAAAGACAACATGTAGCTGAGACAGCCTAAAACAATAGACTTGTACGAAAATGACATCACAAGTTCTAGCTTTCAATTTGAAAAAAACTAAAAGGCAAATACTAGACACTGATGCTGATTTTCTATCTTCTAGTACCAAGCTGGCCACACCCCCAAAACACAGAGCTGAAACAGTTTGACTGGTAAGGGGGAAGTCAGAATTTTATTCTAAATCTGGTAGGGAAACATCAACTACTTAACACCATTGAAAGAGTGGGGGTTCACATTTTGATCAAAGATTCTACAGAAGAATCCAGACTTTCTGGAGCCATGGAGGCTGGATGACCCCCGAAACTACTGCCCTGACATAATCTTTAAATCTTAAATCAAAAGTATCCCCTCAGACTGAATTGCTGGGGTGAGGGCTGTGGGGACTATGGTCTTGGGAACATCTAGCTCAACTGGCATAACACAGTTTATAAAGAAAATGTTCTACATTCTACCTTGATGAGTAGCATCTGGGGTCTTCAAAGCCTGTGAGCAGCCATCTAAGATACTCCACTGGTCTTACCACTTCAGGAGCAAGGGAGAATAAAGAAAACTAAAGACACAAGGGAAAGATTAGTCCAAAGGACTAATGGACCTCAACTACCATGGCATCCACCAGACGGAGTCCAGCACAACTAGATGGTGCCCGGCTACCACCACTGACTGTTCTGACCGGGATCACAATAGAGAGTCCCAGACAGAGCTGGAGAAAAATGTAGAACAAAATTCTAACTCACAAAAAAAGACTAGACTTACTGGCCTGACAGAGACTGGCGAAACCCCAAGAGTATGGCCCCCGGACACCCTTTTAGCTTAGCAATAAAGTCACTCCCGAGGTTCACCCTTCAGCCAAAGATTAGACAGGCCCATAAAACAAAACGAGACTAAAGGGGCACAATAGCCCAGGGGCAAGGACTAGAAGGGAGAAAGGGACAGGAAAACTGATAATAGGGAACCCAAGGTCGAGAAGGGAAAGTGTTAATATATTGTGGGGTTGTTAACCAACGTCATAAAACAATATGTGTACTAACTATTTAATGAGAAACTAGTTTGTTCTGTAAACCTTAATCTAAAGTACAATTAAAAAAAGAAAAAAAAAAATTCCCACTAGTCTTCTTAAAGCCAAACAATAATTTAGCTTAACTAGTAAACAATGTCTGCCTTGAGCATTGTTCTCTTTTAAGAACTATCTATATGGGATCAAACTCACAATAACAACTCAAAAAAATTAGATAGGAAATGTAGAGGGTAGTGAGATTATGTTAACGGGGGACAAACAATTTGGAAAAGAAGGGTGAGAATGGTTGCATAACTTGAAGAATGTAGTCAGTGTTACTGAATTCTACATGTTTAAAGTGTGGAACTGGTGTATGTTCTCCTGTATATGTTCTCAACTACAACAAAATAAAATAAATTATTTTTAAAAAGGGGGCGCAGTTTCCAAATGCCATATTTAAAAGCAGCTGCAATATCCAACTGCCTGCTAATTTGGCGGACTGGGGGTGCAGGAGGAGAAGAAAATGATTAAACCAAAAATACATAAAAAGTGAGCAATCTTTGGTTTTTTGGTTTGTTTTCATTTTAACAAATTCTGTTAGGTCAATATGTCTCAATTTCTTTTAGGAACTACTAACCTAAAAATGGAGCCCTGGTGACGAAGTGTTAAGAGCTCAGCTGCTAATCAAAAGGTCAGCAGTTCGAATCCAGCAGCCACTCCCTGGACACCCTACGGGGCAGTTCTACCCTGTCTTATAGGATTGCTATGAGTCAGAATTGACTCGACGGCACATAACAACCCCACAACCCGGAAATTTACACTAAGTGAAACCTATACCTCTTTCTGGGCGATCTCACGTAAGCGTCGAGGGAGGCGTTTGACATTGTGGCTCATGGCTCTTCGTCTCATGTGCCGTGGCAGAGTCTGGAAGACCATGGAATTAGAAGACTTCTGGGTCACCGCTCTTAACATAGCACTGATTTCAGCAGCTCGGGCCTGAGCAAACGTAGAAGCTGTCAAAGGAAACAACACTTTCATTAAAAACAGCAAGTCTTGAGTCAACGCTTTTTCTGCTGGATTTCACAAAGAAGACAGACTTAAAGTACACGAACTTTTGATTTACCCACCTCTCTAACCCCCTATTAGTTGTACACCAATAGAGGCTGTCTTGTTTCATGCGACTATGGAATGATTCTTCTTTAACCTTTCCAAGCTTTCTACAAGAATTCACTTTTACTTCTCTAATCAGAAAAATAAGTTTAAGATCAAGTTTACAAAGTTAGTTGAAACTGGGGGCTATGTGCAATACAGTACATGCAATATATGCACGTGCAATATAATTACGGTCATTTTTAAGTGCATGCTCACACAGGAAAACAAAGAAAAGACAAAATTTTAACAATGGTTTTGATTCCAAGTGATTTTTTTCCTTACTATTTTCTGCTTTTTCTAAATATGTGGCCATTCTTATTATTGGTTTTCTCTGTTGAAAAATACTTTTCTTTTTTTTTTGGTGAAGAGTAGACAGGGTGCTGAAGCAATTTAAGTGACCTCCTCCAAAAAAGGCACAAAGAGAGATGGAAAAGCATATCTAAGGTGTGGCAGAGTATAGGGTTTATGTGGTGATGGGAATGGGGGGGAGGGAGACAGGGGGCAATGAGGCCAGAAAGGGTCTGGAGTCAGGTATTTAAAGGCCTTAAATGCCTTTAGAGTGTGTTAAGTTTGGTTTCATCTTTGGAGAATGCCATGCTAAGGAGTTTGGACAGCATTTCATGTTTTTAGAAGGGGAGAGGAAAGGGAGAAGCAAAAAGATTTTAACATCAGAGAGGAATAGTTCAAAAATAGGGAGGAAACAGCAGAGGAGAGATGGGGGAGGCAGAGCTAAGACACTGCATAGGGCAATTTGTTGGCATATCTAGCCGCACTAGAAACAAAGAGCTCATGATATAATCAAAGATCATTTCTTTATAAACACCTACCAGTTATATACTTTGGAATCTCCTGAGAAGTGCCCTCGGGGCCTGCTTTCCATCCTCCCTTTTTTCTGAACATTACTTTGGAGGAAGACTGCTCACTTGCATCAGGGTCAAGCAGTGAATGGCGGGTCACTTTGGTTTCCAGCTGTTGTAAAGTTCCAGAACGAGACTCTAGTGTATTTTCAAAAAGAAAACAAAAAGAAATATGTCACTTTTATAAGAGAGGATTATAGTGGAGAATGAACATCGTTGGGTGGCAACATTGATTATGTTTTTAATCCTACAACAACTTTGTAAGATGGCTATTATCATCCCCCTTTCAAAAAGGAGGAATCTCAGGTAGGGAGGTGAATTAACTTGCACAAGGTCACATAACTAGTAGGCAGCATACTAGGTAACCACACCAATATGACATATTAAAGAACCTTAGATATAACAGATATCAGGGAAATTTTCTCCATATAAAACCAAAAAAACCAAACCCATTGCCATGAAGTCTATTCTGACTCATAGCAACCCTAAAGGACAGAGTAGAACTGCCCCACAGGGTTTCCAAGGAGTGCCTGGTGGATTCGAACTGCTGACCTTTTGGTTCGCAGCTGAACTCTTAACCACTATGCCACCAGGGCTTTCTTTTTCCATATAGTGCACATTAATTTAAAATCTATTATTCTTTAAGTACTACAGTCAACGTGATTTTTGAATATTTAATCTTTTACCATAATTCTCATGCACATTGAAGTTAAGAACAACTATGCTTAAATTAAAGAAATAAAAGCAAATTCTCTACACAAATATCTTGCCATTCAAAGTATTCTGGTCTCAAAATAACATCAAATCTCTATCTGTGATGGATAAAGCACATATTTTCAAAAATATAGAACTTTAATAATAATTGATGTTAAGGTAGAGTTAAAACATATCAGTTACAATATGTATCTATTTTTAATTCAGCCCACTTACTCTTTAGATAAGGGGCCCTGCTGGTGAATGGTTAAAGCCCCCAGCTGCTAACCAAAAGGTCAGTGGTTCGAACCCACCAGTTGCTCTGCTGGAGAAAGATGTGGCAGTCTGCTTCCATAAAGATTACAGCCTTGGAAACCCTGTAACTCCTTGCCATCGAGTCGATTCCGACTCATAGCAACCCTACAGGACAGGGTAGAACTGCCCCATAGGGTTTCCAAGGCTATAAATCTTTACAGAAGCAGACTGCCGCATCAGTCTTCGAACCACCAACCTTTCAGTTAGCAGCCAAGCACTTAACCACTGTGCGACTAGGGCTTTATGGGGCAGTTCTACTCTGTCCTATAGGGTCGCTATGAGTCAGAATCCACTCAGCGGCAATGGGATTTTTTTTTTTTTTTTTAAACTCTTTAAATAGTGACCATCAAAAGAAGCTGGCAAAAACAATCTGATCTACATGGGAATGGAGAGACAGCATCGTGTGTGTCTTACCTTCCTTTTGAGTTTGGGCAGGTTTTCCACCTCCATTATGATGCTTTACACCTCTATTAGCCGCAAAGCCAGAGAACAAAGTCACATTGGTGGGCTGGTTTCTCATTTTCTTAGCATGTTTTCTCTCTTTGGCATTAGACATACCTGGAAAGGAAGTAATAAATTTAATACAGGGAGAAGAAACTTTCATTCAAAAATAAAAATTATTATAGGTGGACTGACAACAACGTTATCACGGTATTGATCTACATCAGGGATTCGTAATCAGGGAGCTCTCTATATTGACACCAAAAACTGATTCAGAAGGAAAATAACAATTCTATAGACAGAAGAGAGCACATTAGTACATTCCAGTTTGTATGGCCAAATAATTGAATCATACACAAACCAGTGACGCTGCATAAAGTCTGCCAGAAGAACGAAAAAAGAGGTGTGAGATAAGATTGCCACGCCAGTGGTAAAAAATAAAATAAAATAAATTAGCTACAACAGTTTATCTTGATTCTGAGGTGAAATAAGAGTCACCTGAATCAATGAAAAATAGAACACGCTATTCCAAGATGATAACCTCTATAAAAACTGAATATAAATTATTGATGTTTTCATTTTTATTACTGATATGAGGCCAGCTACATCTTCAATTTATAACAGCAAAAGATGGTGGTTTCAACTTGAAGTAAGAAAGACATAGGGTAAAAACCTGTGGAGCTTAACTGATTAACTCAGCAGTTCTCTACTTATTCACTATTCTTTAAACACTCTATCAAATTTAACCCTGTTTTTACTGAATAATTTGAAACATTTGTTTTCTATTTTGAAATGAAATCATTAATAACTATAACCGATTAGGCACAAAACTTTTTTTTTAATTGTACTTTAGGTGAAGGTTTACAGAACAAATAGTTTCTCATTAAACAGTCAGTACACATATTGTTTTATGACATTGGTTAACAACC